CTACGTTACGAGGTTTGTGACAAAACCTTTTAAGCGGCGGAAAAGCCTTCCTTATCGGACACAAAAGCAAAAGCCGCAACGGAATAATGCATTCAACGCCCACGCGGTGGAGTTCAAGAGGATTTTTGAGCAGCTGGTACGATTGGACTGAGAAGAGGAGACAAGGAGAAGTAGAGGGACGGGAGTTGCGGTGGCGGGGGGAGGGGGCGACGTGGGGAATCTGTGTCTTATTTTCGTCTCAGACGAGCATGTTTTGAAGCAAACGGGAGTGAAACTGAATAAAACGGCTGTAAATTTGAGGGCGCGGCGGCGTCTTGTGACAGCAAGGGACTGGGGGAGGGGGCGTCAACAATGTATGAGAGACGGGAAAAGGAGAGAGAGACGGAGAGAGAGATAGAGAGAGGGGGGGGGGAGAGATGAGTTTTCTTTTGTGGGAGGAGTGTGGACCTGGAGGGTGTTCTTGACGTTCGTTGTTTGATCTACTTTGCGGTGCAGTGGTGCTGGACGTGACAGTGGACGGCCTCCTGAAGTCCGACCACTGGGCCGTGGACCCGCTGTCGCCCGACGAGACCATCAAGAGCCTGGTCCTGTACTTCGACCAGCGGCAGCCGGGCGCTCGCGCCCGCCTCTACGTGGACTGTGAGACCCAGGGCTCGCTCAACCTGCACACCACGCCCCGCGACCTGTTCAACGCCGTGGACTCGGACACCAAGTCGGTGCAGGCAGTGAGTGTGCACGAGGGATGACCCTCTTAGGGATGGTATATAGGGCGAGGTATAGGGTAATTTTTTCATCGTGGGGTAACTTTATCATAGTGTCTACCTGACGTGGTTTTTGGAATGCACTTCTCTGTCCTCCGTAGAGACGCGAGCGTAAGCACGCGGTGGAGGTGCTGGGCGACGTGCGCGCCGGCCTGGTGCTGGACAAGCTGGGCTGCCCCAAGCAGGAGGACCAGATGGTGGCCATCGAGCCGGACGGCTCCGGCCGCCCCGGCGAGCGCGGCCCTCAGGGCAACGAGCTGTACCCCAACAGAGGTGAGCATGCCTGTCTTCAATGCTATGTGCTAAAACAGTTTGACTTATCCCCTGTTCGTGTCCTAACGTACAATTTTCTGTTTCTAGGTGACATTCCTATTCTGCACGGCTGCGACGAGTGCGACAAGGGTGAGTGACTAGCCCCTCACGCGGGTGCGCATTTGCATGCGACGGTCGACGGTGTCCATTAAAGGGGCGAGTGAGTGTGCGGCCGTGTGGCACTTTACGTGGTTTGACTCACGTCGCCCACGCCGCCTCGCCCGCCGGCGGACTCTGGAGAAGGCGGCGGCCGGCAGCCGGAGGCTGCACCTCAGAAAGTGTGACTCAGGCGCGAACAGGTGCAGATTACCGTCAGCTGCAGCTGGTCTCATATACGTTCCGCCAACGATTTTTTTTTATTTTTTTTATTTTTATTTTTTTTTTGCGATGCCTTTTTGCCTTGCGGGATAATTTTCTGATGCCTCCTTATCGGCAGAGGAAGATGTTTGCATCGTTCCTCTTGAGAGGGGAAAAGGCGGGGAAAAAGGAAGGGGGGTGGGGTACATTTTCTTGGGGTAGTAAAAAAACCCGAAGAAACGCACTTCTTTAATCGTGAAAAAGTTTTCTGATTGCCGTCGCTCTCTGTCTGTCAGATCTGCTGGTGAAGACGCTTAACGACCTGATCAACGCCATGAAGAGGTTGCACGACGAGGTGGAGCATCAGGTTGGTGGTTGTGCGGATGCTCACGCACAGTTGAGGGCGCAGTACGCGTGCGACTTGATGCAAGTAAGGAAGGAATCGGCTCTGAGTCACTGCAGCAGCAGCATCGCTTGAGACATTAACTCGCTCAAAGCACTGCCAGCACTCCTTCACACTTCCGTTGTTTGCCTTTGTGTGATTTCAACCTTTTTGAATGATTGTAATGGTTGTGCTACCAAACGCGGCAAGGACCCGCTAGCCGAGCGCCATCGAAACCTTCAAGGAAGGCTCCTGAACTTGTGTGCTGCATGGCCAGTTCCTCTTGCATGTCGTTTCTTCCGTGACAAATAAAATGCCTCGCACAATTTTATGCGACAAAGAGGCATTGAGTTTGTTAGAATGTGCGTGCGTGTGTGCTCTATACTGATGAGATTATATCAGGTTTTCTCCACGTTCTTTAACTGTGTACTTACCCATTACAGTTTCTTCAATTTTTATGTAGACTAGTCAAATTTTACTCTGACCTCTGAGTTTAACACGAACTGATTCTTGTGCCCCCGCCCCTCTCCCAATAACGCTCGGTTAATAATGCACCACCATTTTCCAAATGTTTTACCTATTGTAATTCTATGCTCATGTTTTAATACTAAAAATCAAATTAGTTTCGGACGCGACTAGACACCCGCCTAAGGGGAGGGGTATAGGAGGGGATTGACAAGATCGGCTGTCCTTGGTTTCACGTGCGTGCATCGTTCAGATGCGTGCGGCTAATTGCCACCGTTCTTTTAACATCCGTGATGTTTCAAGCCTTTAGAAAACTGCCATGGAAGGGCCTTGGAAGCCCGCTAAATCATAACATGCTATTTTGTTTCCTTCAGAAAGTAGCCGAAACATTGGGTGGGCGTCCTTAGGAGGCAAGTACTAATTTTTGGCGATTATTTTTCTAACGCACTCGTGTGTGTGTGTGTCCGTTTACAGCGCACCGAGACCCGGCAGCTTCGCGAGATGCTGGAGCAGTGCGAGCTCTGCAAAGGTAACCGCAGGCGCCTGGAGTGGCGGCCGGACTTCCCCGCCGTGGTGGGGGCGGGCGGCAGCGGCGGCAGGAGGGCCCGCCTGAGGTGGGGGCGCCGGCGCGGCGCCGAGGAGTAACGCTTCCAATTGTCGTTGAATCGACTCCGATCCGTCATCGAAACGATGGAATCGACGTTGGAACGATATCGTTTCGTCATTAATTTCTCACTCTAACATCAGTGGCAAACATTCCCATCCCCATCTTTACTTTAAGTGGGTTATTTTAATTCTGACCGTTTTCATCATTTTGCATTACTACTTCTATTACCGTTCGATTCGCGAAAAGAAGTTACAAATGTGCTGTACTCTAATTAATCATTCCTAAGTATCCATTCCAATATGTGTGAGGAATCAGTTAATTCGTTTTTAATGCATTTGAGCTGTAATGACCATGTATATGCTCAATTTCTGAGAATAAAGTTTAATTTTCTTTCTCTTAAACACGCAGTAATTATTTTTCTCATTTCTTTAATATTACCTATTCTCCTCACACGTACGTCAACAGAGCACAGAGTTACCCTTCTTTTCGTGAATCCTTCGGATAGTTACGTACCCTCATAAAAGGGAAAAAAAACTCCGACATAATGGCTTGGATCAAATTATACTCCCGTGAAAACATGATACTAATAATAATCATATTCTTGCTAATCGACATAGGCGGATCACTTTTGAACTCGTGCAAAATACAGCTGCAGCCCTTCCACCCTGCACTGATCCAATATCCTTGAACATGTCGCTGTCGGCATATCCGAGCGTTAAGTATTTTTCAGAAAGTACGCCCGTCATTCACCGTTATGAACCTGCCAAGCCGAGCCAGCCACTGCAAGCTGTCGTAACGCCTTGTAGGTAGGCAATATCTTGCCTGCGGTGCATGCGTGTATTGCGGGGTGGCCTACCCCGAATCTCGCAGGCGCTGAGCTCTTCCATAAGTTGCCCGAATGGATCTGAGAAAAAAGGACGTGATTTCTGGACGATCCCCCTTAGGGTCCCTCTAGCGCTGAGGCACCCAACGTGGAGCCAGTGAGTCTCCAGCGGGTTTCCCGGAGTCTAGCGCGACAAGGCAACTGGAGGCGGGCCGCATTGATCCTTGCGCCTTCCCGTGCGCTCCCCATGCGGTGCCCGTGCCGTGCCTGTGCGGTGCCTGCTGTGCCCGTGCTGTGCCCGTGCCGCCCGTAGTCCTGTTTCTCGACCCCTCCGCCTCTCTACCACCCGCAGGAGGCGAGCCCGCCGCCATCAGGATCACGTGCGAGAGCTATCCGCCGCCCTGCTTCCCCGGGGCCGAGTGCCGCGACACCGCCGAGGGCCCCCGCTGCGGTCGCTGCCCCCAGGGCTACGTCGGCGACGGCCGGAGCTGCAAGCCGGGACGCACCTGCGCGGATCGGCCGTGCTTCCAAGGTAGGCTAACCTTTGAACACCTTGTAACTTTAGGGGGGTGGGGGTGGGTATAAATATCATGGGGTCTCCAAAGGATTAGGACAGGGCGGTCGTTGGAGACCATAGGTATCATCATAAATACCATAGGGCACCTACCGACTCCAATGGCGGCCCTAATCCTGTCCCCGATATTTGTATCACCCCCCCAAAGTCTCGTGGTTTGGGCACAGGCCCCTGCAAACACGATGATGATGATACACCCTGTTTTGCGTGGCGTGCCCGCAGGCGTGCGCTGCTACGACACGGTGGAGGGTGCCCAGTGCGACCCCTGCCCCGCGGGCTACGTCGGCGACGGCCAGCGCTGCAAGGCGCGCAACGGCTGCGAGAACAACCCCTGCTGGCCGGGCGTGCAGTGCCACCCGCTGCAGGACCACCCCTTCTACCGCTGCGGCAGCTGCGAGGCCGGCTTCACGGGCAACGGGACCACCTGCCACGACCTGGACGAGGTGAGCGTGCGGTGGGGTGTCATAAAAGGAGATCTGCTAAACAGACGGGTTGGACCCCGCTAACGCTCTGGACACCCGCAGTGTGACCTGGCCGAGCCGTGCGACCCCCGGGTGCGGTGCGTCAACATGCAGCCGGGCTACCGCTGCGACCCCTGCCCGCCAGGCTTCACCGGCTCCCCCGGCATCGAGGGCGTCGGGCTGGAGTTCGCGCAGCAGTACCGCCAGCGCTGCGTGGACATCGACGAGTGCGCGGACGGTCGCAACGGCGGCTGCGCGCCGCACAGCGTCTGCGTCAACACGGAGGTGAGTGCCGCCGGGTGCCGGGGCTGCGAGCGGCGCAGTGCATCGCGCGTTTATTGCAGATATCGTTGATCCGGCCTCACCCCCTGTGCCTTGTCCGCTAGGGCTCCTTCCACTGCGGTGGCTGCGCCAAGGGCTACGTCGGCAACCAGACGATCGGCTGCCACAACAAGCCCGGCCTCTGCCCCGACGGCACAGACTGCGACCAGAACGCCGACTGCGTCCGCCACACCGCCAACTCGTACCGCTGCAGGGTGAGTAATAATGGTGGCCTGGTGCCCTCTTTTAAAAGGGCTGCTGAATGACGTTTAACTTGGTGTCGGGCGCCTGTTGCAGTGCCGCGTTGGCTTTGCTGGCGACGGCCACATATGTGGACCGGACAGGGATCTGGACGGCTGGCCCGACTACGACCTCGGCTGCAGCTTCAGCCGCTGCAGAAAGGTAGGTAGGCGACGACGATGTGCTTTGACCCCCTGCTTGAGAGGGTCCCGCCTAAACGCCACGTTCCCCGCCCACCCCAGGACAACTGCGTGCTGGTGCCCAACTCCGGTCAGGAGGACGCCGACAAGGACGGCCTTGGTGATGTCTGCGACCCGGACGCCGACGACGATCTCGTTCCCAACGGCGGCGTGAGTACTCGCCGTCCAGGATGCTGGTGACTTTTTGGGGGTGTGGGGCGACGCTTTCAGCATGACCCGTGTGTGCGCGCAGGACAACTGCCCCCTGGTGTACAACCCGGACCAGGCGGACACGGACCAGGAGGGCCCCGACAAGCAGGGTGACGCCTGCGACAACTGCCCTACCGTGCCCAATGTGGACCAGGAGGACACGGACGGCGACGGCATCGGGGACGCCTGCGACGACGACATAGACAACGATGGTAAGAAATATTTGCTTTATGCGTAGTGCAGTTTTATGCGGTCGTCTTTTTCTGTGGGTCATCTTGTGATGAACCCAGGCCAATTACGTGACCAAGAAAAGTATACACCTAACCAGTCGTTAATGATTTCTTCCAGGTATTCTCAACCACCAGGACAACTGCCCGAAGAAGGCCAACTCCAACCAGATGGACACGGACGGAGACGGCCTCGGTGACGTGTGCGACAACTGCCCCAAGACCCCCAACTCCAACCAGATTGACAGCGACAACGACAACGTGGGCGACGCCTGTGACACGAACCACGACACGGACAAGGACGGCCACCAGGACAACGTCGACAACTGCCCCAGGATCCCGAACAGCGACCAGCTGGACACGGACCGGGACGGGCGGGGAGACGCCTGCGACAACGACAAGGACAACGACGGCATCCCGAACTTGCAGGACAACTGTCCACTCGTCTACAACCCGGATCAGGAGGATGTAGACCGTAAGTGCGGGTTGGGTGGAGTTGGAAGGGTGGGGTGGGGGAGATCCCACCAGCCACCGTGGCACAGTGGGTGAGTCCACCTCGAGATCAGTCGCTGACCAAGGTCTCATGTTCTACGCAGAGAATGGCGTGGGTGACGCCTGCCAGGGCGACTACGACAAGGACAACGTGGCCGATCACCTGGACAACTGCCCCAACAACTCCATGATCTTCTCCACTGACTTCAGGTGCGGAAACCCCCTGTTCACTTTGTGACTAGTGGCTACTGTGCCCTCAACCCGCCCCGTTACCGGTTCAATTAAACACTCTCTTAAACTTCTCTTTGTTTATGGTCTGTTGCCAGAACGTACCAAACCGTTGTTTTGGACCCCGAGGGTGACTCCCAGATCGACCCGAACTGGGTTATTTACAACAAAGGTGCTGAGATCGTTCAAACTATGAACTCGGATCCGGGTCTCGCAGTCGGTAAGTTAGTCGTTATTACAGCAGCCCGAGTCACCTATTTTAAGCGTAAAAATTCCTCTCTGAATATAATACGAACTGCAGGTTTCGACTCATTCGGTGGCGTCGACTTTGAGGGTACGTTCTTCGTGGACACGGAGATCGACGATGACTACGTGGGCTTCATCTTCAGGTGCGTTAGTGGAAACCATCAGTATGATTCGTGGATGGTGAGAGGGAAGTCCCATTGAGGGTCGCTGCTGTGCCGAGATGTTCTCTAACGCCCACTCCATGCGCAGCTACCAGGACAACCACAAGTTCTACACCGTCATGTGGAAGAAGCACACGCAGACCTACTGGCAGTCCACTCCGTTCCGCGCCGTAGCCGAGCCGGGCATCCAGATCAAGCTGGTCAACAGCCGCACCGGCCCGGGACAGATGCTGCGGAACTCGCTCTGGCACACCGGGGACACCACTGACCAGGTAAGGCCAGCCAGTCCACCGAACACTGGTCGGCAGTGTCTCGTGCATTTAACGACCACAATATGGTCATGGTTGACAATCATGTAACTTGCTTTCATCTCGGTTGCAGGTCCGCCTGCTGTGGAAGGACCCGCGCAACGTGGGCTGGAAGGAGAAGACGGCCTACAGGTGGCTGTTGCTCCACCGGCCCACCATCGGGCTCATTCGGCTGCGTATCTTTGAGGGCGAGAGCATGGTCGCCGACTCGGGCAACATCTTCGACAACACCCTGAAGGGCGGCAGGCTGGGCGTGTTCTGCTTCTCGCAGGAGATGATCATCTGGTCCGATCTCGTCTACAGATGTAACGGTGAGTTGGTCATTCCCCCCTCGGGTAGGCAAAACGCATGGCACGCTACTGTCCGTAAATCTCTATGTAACGTCGAATTACTTATTTTTCTAGATCACGTTCCTGAAACCATCTACCGCGAGCTTCCCCCAAGACTTATGAAGGACGTTCACATCGACTATTCCAAGACACCCATGCCGAACTTCTACAATAACAGCAAGAAGTAGTGCGGATGCAAGAGATTACTTTTTGTGAACATTCTGTGAGCAGAGTAGAAATGTTAGATTATATTTTATTTTGACAACTAAACAGTTTGCTTCTAGACGCATCAGGTTTGACACCTGATGCACCAAATATGTTTGCAGAGGCAGTTTAGACGCAATTTTAGAGTTTACCAACTTACATATTTCCTACCACACTACTCTGTTTCACGCCAGTTTTCAAGGCGATGGGCTTCAAACTGTGAGAAGATGTTCTAAGCATGTTGAATCGTTAGCTAGATTTTCCCCTCAAATGTTACCTTTGGTACCATATGTGCCAGCCATGTACATGTATAAGTACTCTAATTCTTTATTCATTTTAAATCATTTAGAAGATTTTTTCATCCTATGGGCTACTGCACGATATACTTGAATTGAGTTCCAGAACTATCATCCCTCAAGGCTTCCTTGTGTGACATTAGACATCACATTCCTTCCCTCCACTCAGTGTCATGAATCAAAATCAAATTTCCACCATACCCAAGACTCTGCAGTTTTATGGCTGAAAATGAGTTGGATCTCTTCCAACATTGTAACATGTCTGTAATAATTCATATATTTGTAATAAATTTACCATTAACAGAGTCATAAATGTTAAAGGTCATTTTGCGGTGCTCACGTCCCCTCACCTCCCACTCTGCCAAGGAATCTCAATCTGAGCAGACTATAGATGGCATGTGTTCGACCAAAATTAAGCCTGTGGCTCCCACACAGTAAAAAGATGCTTAGAATATGCTCATGTCGACCCCAGACACACGCAAGGGGCCGCGGGGGCCCACACGAGCCAAATAGAGTACTCACGTACTGATTGCCTACCCTACAGGCGCTTTCCGCCTCAACACTTCTCTGGCGTCCTCTCCTGCAGCCGCCCGATGCACGGGTCGCCTCCGCTCCTCCGCTACGTCCCCATCCCTCTAGGATACATCCCCATTTGAAGCTACATAGTGGTAGCAACAACAATCAACACGCCCGCAGGCAGCTTAATCTGAATGGCATTTATTTACGATTATCAGACAGTCGGGGTGTCCCCGTAAAAATGAGTTAAAATTTAAAATAAAACAAAAGTAGCAGAGCTCTTTACCTCGACCCATACTGTGGGGTCAAAGGTACGGCTTAAGCTTAGTACCATCCAGATTTTCAACTATGGATACACAGAAGAAGCTTCACACAGGCCAAGGTGCTCTATTACCATAGCGGCAGTCGAAAGGTTTGCCTACCATGTCCTCTGCAGGTACTGAGGAAACTAATGGAAAACAAACTTAAGATAATGATGTATCTTTTTCACAAGCACAAGTCACAGCACAATTATCACACTCAAAATAAGAATTACATACAGTAAAAAAATAAAAAGGAATAAAACCCATGGACAGCAAAAAAATTAATGTCGTCTAGTATACTAAAGTAACACAAGTAAAATGTCTGATCCGTCCTCTAAGAAAGATTAGTCGAAAGTATAAAGCCGGAAAGTACGCCAGCGCTGTGCGCCTATCTCTTAAAGATACAAAATCAACGACGGATTTTTCTCTTTTTCGCCCGTCCGCCATCCTGTTGCGCAGTTTCTTCGTCCCGTTGAGCTGCTTGGATTTTCAGGAGGTCCCGTGCGTCCTGGTCCCGGAAGCGCTTTGCGCGCTCAATCATGTCCTTAACGGCGTCCTCGGAGAGCGCACCCTCCTCCTGGGTGACCGTCACCTTCCCGCTCGCGCCGGTGACCTTGTCCGTGGCCGTCACCGTGAGCAGACCGTCAGCGTCAATCGTGAAACAGCAGTCGATCTTCACATCCTTCTGGGGCAACGGCGTCGGTATGGTGAACTTCTTGTTAAGGTTGTGATTATCCTTTGCCAGGGACCGCTCGCCCTGGAACACCTCAAACAAGACTTCGCACGCATCCTTGCATTTGGTGTACTCCTTCACCATCTTGCAGGGAATGGGGGTGTTGCGAGGGATGACGCGAGAAAATCCACCGCCTTCGGTCTCGATGCCGAGGGACAGCGCCGTGACGTCCTTGAGCTTCACCATGTTGCAAAAGAGGTGATCGTCGCCGGCGGCCAGCGCGGCGGCGTGCACCGCCGCGCCGTACGCCACCGCCTCGTCCGGGTTGATGGACCTGCGGGGCTCCTTGCCGTCGAAGAAGTCGCGGAGCATGGTGCGCACCTTGGGGATGCGGGTCGACCCGCCCACCAGCACCACCTCGTCGACGGCGTCCTTGGTCACCTGCGGGCGAGGAGTGGCATAAAATCTAACCGAAACAGGGACACCACAGGCTAGGGTTGTCCTCCTTCCCTCACCTTGGCGTCGGCCAGCACATCCGTCGCGATGGTCAAGGTCTTGTTGAAAAGGTCGGAGCACAGGTTCTCGCACCGAGCTCGGGTCACCGACGTCTTGTAGTTCAGGTTGTGGCGGGGAAAATAGACGCTGACGGGAACCTCCGACAGTGATGAAAGCTTGCGCTTTGCCAGCTCGCACGCCCTCCGCAGCTCATGCACGGACACGCTGTCCAGGCAAACGCCGTGCTGGGTGCGGACGTCCTGAGGAGAGGTCATATTTGTCATGCCAGGCAGTCTTTAAGCATAATTCTCCGAGATTCGAAACATTATCAGTGCCCCCACTAAAAAAAAAATCCTTTTACTTGAGGGGGAAAAGCACCCAATAGTACCCAAAATGCAACAAGAGTCAGCACATATGCACAAGCAAGCAGTTGTTCTCACCTCAATCAATGCATGCAACAGACGATTATCAAAGTCTTCTCCTCCAAGGTGAGTGTCCCCCCCTGAGGCCAACACAGTGAAATCGCTACCAGACACAGTCATTACTGACACGTCAAAAGTTCCACCACCCAGATCGTAAATAAATATTGTTTTCTTTGCACCGTCACTACCCTTTGATTTGTCTAGTCCATATGCGATTGCTGCAGCTGTAGGCTCGTTGATCATGCCAATCACATCAAGCCCAGCTATTTTGCCTGTCAAAATTAAAAAATTATAAATCAGAAATAATTCACCTTTTTTAAACAATGGTTAAAAAAATTAACAGCTAACATTAATGAAAATATTATTGGATGTACCTGCTAACTTAGTCATCTGTCTCTGACGCTCATTGAAAAACGCAGGAACTGTAATAACAGCTTGAGACACTGTTTGTTGGAGCGAGGCCTCTGCCGTCTCCTTTAAATTCCGCAACACCATGGCACTAATCTCTTCAGGGAAGAAATCTTCCTTCTTGCTTTCATTTACAGTGACCCTTAAAACAGGAACTCCTCTCTTTTCAATCACCATGAAGGGCCAATGTGAAATCTCCGATGTAAGGATGGCATTATAAGGTCGACCAATCAGGCGTTTTGAATCTGAGAGAGAAGTTATGTGTTGAAACAGAGGGAAGTGCCACCAGATGCATGAACTCATGCATAGAGAAAAATGGAGGGGAAAATGACATCATTTAGCCTACTCACCAAAAACCTGACAGCTTGCTGGCAAGTCCTGCGCCGCCTCCCCGACAAAACTCTCGCCACCGAGAAATCCAACCACGCTGGGAGTCGTCCTGCTGCCGCTCTCGTTGGAGAAGATCTCCACCTTGCCCCTCTGGTACACGGCGACGGCGGAGTAGGTCGTCCCCAGGTCGATGCCAACCACCGGGCCGGAGGGGGGCGAGGAGGGCGTGCTCGAGCAGCCGGCTGAGCGAGAGGC